ACATGAATATATATATATTCATTGTCACATTTTTTCTCTGTGACCTACCATAAGGTCTTGTATATATTTCCCTGTGCTACACAGTATAATCTTGTTTATCTATTCTACATTTTGAAATCCCAGTCTATCCCTTCCCACCCCCCACCCCCACCCTGTTGGCAACCACAAGTTTGTATTCTATGTCTATGAGTCTTTTTCTGCTTTGTATTTATGCTCTGGGTTTTTTTTGTTTTGTCTCTCCAGCATTTGTCATTTGTGGATTTTTGCATGATGGCCATTCTGGCTGGTGTTATATTTGTTATTCTTATGTCTATCTTCTACCAAATGCATTTGTCCCGGCTTCCTGAAAAAAATTTGCATGCAAAATGTGTAGCTAACTAATAACTTAAGGAAAAATATTTATTGTGGATTTTAAAAATTATACAACCTAAACTCATTTCAAAAATTTTAAGACACAGAAAAGGAAAATAAGGAGAAAAAAGTCCTATTCAATCATATAGCTCCAAAATAGCTACTGTGGATATTTCAATGTCTAGTTTTCCATACTTCTTTATCTATATAAATGAACATGTCTATAAATCCTTATAAGATTTATATAATATATAAACAACTTAGAAAACATCAGAGAGGAAATCTGTCCAATTTTAAATGATTTGTAATTTATTTTCCAAATAATATCATGTTGTTTTCTAACTTAAATGGTGGTGATTATGTTAAAAACTAAAATTCCTGCAATAATAAAATAGGCTAAGATATATTGTTAATAAATCTCATTGTGGCATTTTACAGCTTTTTTTCTATATTATGTGTCTCATATCCTTAGGCACCCTTGTATTTTATTCCTTAATTTAAAAAATGGGTTATTCTCATTTGTTATCATTTGTTTTGTTCATTTACTGGACTAGATACATCTCACATGTATTTTTCCTAAGTCCATAGTGCTTTTTTTAAAACTGACCATCTACTAGACCAAAAGAAGGCCTAAGTCTTAGTTAAAAGAAATCCTACGAGGCACATTTTCTGAACAAGAAGGGATTCAAACTCAAACTTAATGACCCAAGCGTTCATTTCAAAAAGAAAAGAAAGGAAGAAAAGAAACAAACAAACAACAAAATGCAGAAAACGCCAGTCAGTGTTTTTTGGCTTGAAAGACAGGCGGAAAGTCAGGGGGGATGGGCGGTTGAAAGGCCTGTGACACGTGAGTGAGGCCCTGCGCAAACCCTGTGTGACGTCCCTAGGGCCTCGAGAGATAAACAGCCACTTCTTCCCAAGCGGCACTAAGGGGAGCTGTGGCGGAGCCTCCCGGGCAGGGGGTGAGCCTGCTCACCTGAAGATCTCACCACAGCCATGAGCAGCAAGGAATGCTTCAAGTGTGGCCGCCCTGGCCACTGGGCCCGGGCATGCCCCAGAGGAGGAGGAGCTCGAGGACGCAGAGCTAGAGACCATGGCAGAGGGGCTCAGTGCTGTTCCACCACCCTACCTGACATCTGCTATCGCTGCGGTGAGTCTGGGCATCACGTTAGGAACTGTGACCTTCTCGAGGACATCTGCTACAACTGTGGGAGGAGTGGCCACATCGCCAAAGACTGTGTCGAGCCAAAGCGAGAGCGAGAACAGTGCTGTTACACCTGTGGCCAGCCAGGCCATCTGGCTCGTGATTGCGACCATCAAGAACAGCAGAAGTGCTACTCTTGCGGCGAATTTGGCCACATTCAGAAAGACTGCACCCAAGTCAAGTGCTACCGGTGTGGCGAGACCGGCCACATAGCCATCAACTGCAGCAAAACGGGCGTGGTCAACTGCTACCGCTGTGGTGAATCCCGACACCTAGCCCGGGAATGCCCCATTAAGCCTACTGCTTAATTTTTTCCTTGCCACCCCCTGCCTTTTTGCTGATTGATAATTGTACTGTTTTCTGTAAGACCTCTTCACTGACCAAAAGTTGATAGATTTAGGCTACTCCCAGGCCAGTGAGCTTTAATTACCATGTTAAAAGAAGAAAGAACTGAGAAAAAAACTCCAAAAAAAAACGTTATTCATTTGTAGATGTCTTATAATTAATGTGTTTCTGCACCACTGATATATCTGGTTGTTGAACATCCTGAACATTAGGCAATTTCTAGATCCTTTGGACTCATTTTGATTCAACATTTAGTTAAGAGCCACTGTGTGCCAGCCACTGTTGAAGGAGCTTGAGCTGTATCAGTGAACAAATTAGACCATCTTTAGAAACACAAGCCTATATTAGAATCTATTAACAAGTGAAATACATAGTGTGTCAGTAGAAGATCAATTGCTACAGAGAAAAAGAACACGAGGTGAAAGAATAGACAATGTGTTGCGGGGGGACATATGTTTCTGTTTTAGATACACAAGGTGCCCTGAGGAGCTGACATTTCTCAGAGATTCATTGCATAAATAAAGCTGATTCTAGAAATGTTTATGATCTTGTCAAAGTAACTTTATTATATATTGATTGCTTCGATTATTTGACCTCATTAGCTTTTAAGTAACAGTAAAAGCCATCTCTATCTGGGCCTATATAGAATGTATAGTTTAATGAAAATAAGCCAGAAAAATATGTATGATGTGTGTAAGCAGCTTTGAGGGAGAACAGTGAGAAAAAAACAACCAAAAAAACCTTAGCAGCAAATTGGGGACATAAAGATATTGATGACAAAGTGTGGGCTTACATATTTTTTAAAAGCCTAAGAAACCAGGTATAAACTTTAAGATTAACATAGACTGGGCTTTGGTAATTTCAAAAACATTCATTTTCACAGATATGAAAGTTATATTTATGTTTAGGAATTTCTGAAAAATATGTTTTCTCAGATATCAATATTCCATTTCATATGCTGGAATCCATTTTTAAAAACAGATCTGAAAAACAACTGAAGTTCTATAAAACAGAAAAGGCAATTTCAAACTCTAAATAAAACCTGGGATGGGGAAAGGTAACTATTGTGTCAAGATAAAATTGTGGTTTAACAAAATAATGATAATGGGGGAAGGGTATAGCTCAAGTGTTAGAGCTCATGCTCAGTACGCAAGAGGTCCTGGGTTCAATCCCTGAGACATCCTCCAGGCAGAAATCAATGAAGAAACCTAATCACCTCCCCATCAGAATACAAAATAACAGTAATGACAATACTACACATCAAACCTAGGATGTGATAGAATTTATAGCAGAAAAGATAGTGTAGAGGGTATAATTTCTGGTCCATAAATACAAATGGTCAAAGAAATGTAACTAAAAAAAAAAAACCCAAAGAAATGTAACTGATTCTATAACTGAAGACAATTCTTTTATGAACCTCCATAAGACTTGATGTGTAACCCTTCATTCCTACATCAAAGACCCTTTCAATTCAGCTGAGTTTCAACTTCTGGGACCCCCTTAGGATCCTAGAAATTGATTCTGTTATTTTCTGTGCTGTCTCAACCAGATAAACTCAGGCATACTCCCAGTCCCTAAATGGGGCAATCTCACAGTCCAATCTGCCAAGACACAACTGGAAACTCCTACGCACACTGAATCAGACAAATTCTTGTCTCATCACAGTGCTGAACTCTATTTAGGGAAGGAGGAACATAGGAATCTGCTTCTGAATCCCTCTAAACCATCTGTTGTTTCATTTCCCATGCCCTCAGGAGTTTGTTCCAGAGTTGGAGGAGAAAAAGAGGCTAGATCCCTTTATTAAGGACACACTTATCATTTAAATCCTCTTTACATTCCCCTTAGGCATTTTTTTCTAGTCCCAGAGGAAAGAAGTGTTATTTTGACTCACCAGTACCCTGTGCCAGAAGTTACAAAATGATAGCCCTCTTACTGAATCAGGTCCACAATATGTTTAGTTTGATCTGCACATTGTTCAATAACATTCATGAAGTAGTTATCCACATTTAAAAATTGGAACATTTCCCATGGAAATTCTTTTTCTTCTTTCTGGAACAAAAACAAAGCTCAGGAAGCAATAGGCAACCATTTCTGTGTGGAAACTTTCAGCTGGAGGTGAGTAGTACTTTCTCCCTACAGATAAGTAACAAATTCCCTCTTTAACATAAAAGAAAATGAGGAAAGATTTAAATATTTTACTACAAAAAAATCAACTAAACACAAAAGAAGACAGTAATGCAGGAAGTGAGAGACAAAGCTATAAGGCATACAGTAAACAAACTGCAAAATGATAGAAGTCCCTCCTTATCAGTATTACTTCAAATGTAAATGGATTATAATCCCCAGTGAAAAGACAGATGTTGAAAGAATGGATAAAAACATGATTCAACTATATACTGTCTATAAGAGACTCATTTTACACCCAAAGATACAAGTACATCGAAAGTAAAAGGATAGGGAAAAAATTCCATGCAAATTGTAACCAAAAGGGAGCAGTGGTGACTATCCTAATATCAACCCAAATAGATTTTAAGTCAAAAAAAGTTTACAAGAGACAAAGAAGGTCATTATATATTAATAAAAGGCTCAATACAATTATATCTTATTGGCCAGGGTATAGAGAAATGAGAACTCCCCTACACTGCCATTGGAAGCAGAAAATTGATATAACATTTCTGGAAGGCAATTTGGCATTATAGATCAAAAACCTTTAAAAAGTCCTTATCCTTTAAAACAGCAATTATCTTAAGAAAACGATCATGGATATATACTCAAAACATATATTTAAAAGCATTCACATCAACATTATTTATTACAATGATAAATAAGAAACATTTATCATCAACAGGTAGGGAATTTAAAATACAACACATGTATAAGATAAAATACCTTGCTGCCACTAAAAATCATGTTATAGCAGAATGTTTATTGACATAAAGAAATGATTAGGCTACAAAATAGTACATACAGTATAACATACTATGATATGATAGGTAGTTCTTCCCATTATTAAAGCTCTGAGCACATTGTACTTTCTAGAACAAGAGTGAAAGCCAAAAATAAATAATTTAAAACTCTCTAGCTATTTTAAAATTTATAAATCACTTACTAAATAACTGTAGGTTCAAAAAGGTAATTACAGTGAAAATTGCCAACAATTTAGAAAATGGAAACAAAAGTTATGGACTCCAGCCCAAAAGAGTATTTAGCAGCCAAATATTTTATTACATTATAATTCAAGAATATTTTTTAAAGGCTACAAGACAAATCTGCAGAAATTAAATGAAAAAAGTTTAATGCCTAAAAAAAATTTAAAAACAGAAATAGGTGGATTAGACAAAAGCAGAATTGACCAACAAAAACAACCCTGCTTCTTTAAACAAAATAAATGTATTTAAAATAGAAAAACTTCAGGCACATGCAAGTTTTTAAAGGGAAGGAATGCATAAATATAAAATTAAGAATCTGAAAAAGTATCTGAAAAAACAAAAGCCAGAGCCAAAGAGATATTTTATAATTGTAAAAAAGCATAGACTTTGGAATTATATAGACCTGAATTTAAATCCTTGCTCTACTGTGTGATCTTAGGTAAGTCTCAATCCCTGTGAGACTATATTCTTATTTGTAAAATAAATAATAACACCTCAAAAGGTCATTATAAGAATTATTTAAGATACTATATGTCAGATGCTTGGCACAATGCTGGTACATGGTAAAAACTCAACACACACAGTAGCTGCTGCTATTATATATAGCAGACTTCTTTTAAAATTATAAGAGAGCAGGGATTATAATTTTACCCTTAATGCACTTTAATATCAATGAAAATATACATTTTCAAAAATGGCACAATTATGCAAATTGTATGAATATTACTACTAAGTTGATTATTACCACTATTAAAATGATATAACCCAGATGGTTTTAGGGTTATTTCAGAAGAACAAATAATTCCTATATTTTATTGACTATTCTGGGGTTTAAGAGAGATAGCACACTAATTTCTATGAAAGTAGCATATCTATAAAACTAGCACAGAAAATTTTAGCAAATGCTAGCAGAAAATTTTTTAGAACTTGCAAACTAATCTTATTTGTGAATACTAGTATAAAAATCCTAAATAAAATTACTAGAGTATAAGTTAGAAATTTCCTAGTTATAAGTGGCAGACAATTCTACTAAAACCTGGCTTAAGCAGATAGGGGATTCAGGGTTACATGTAATGAAGTAGGGGTAGGTGAGGCTTCAGGTATTATTGAAAACAGAAATTCAAAGTGTCCTCAGTGCACCCCAATGTTCATAGCAGCACTTTTTACAATAGCCAAGACATGGAAACAACCTAAATGTCCATCAACAGATGACTGGATAAGGAAGTTGTGGTATATTTATACGATGGAATACTACTCAGCCATAAAAAA